TGGAATACTATGCGAGCCTCTGCAGATCAATGCATCTACACTGAACACTTTTATAATCATAAAATATTAACAAACAATAGGGGTATTCTCGAAGTATTGCACGATGCACGTATTGCACGAAATGCAAAAATACTATCCCAAATTTCGAAGAGTACGAGAGCACCCCATTGCAAAGTGGTAGAATGCATGGGTAGCAAGCAGCGAAATTATGTATCAAATACAATAACAAGAGACAGCAGAAAAAAATGAAGTGAGCGAGATGAGAGGAATGAGAGAAATATTTAGCAATTCCAACAACAAAACAACTAGCACAGGGTCGCATATATCTTGCTATGCTATTTTGCAAAATATATACATACATGGGTTTCGACGTTGCATATTTTGCAGCGATAGGAAATGTCGTTTCCCATGTATTTTGTTGTGGTGTGTTTGCAAGTTATGCAATCCATGCAATCCGTGCTACGTGCAATGGCTTTGCAAGATTTGGAGAATACCCCTAATATGTAAATAAAAATATTGAGGGCCGATAGGGGAAACACACTTAAAACATTACCTAAATACTTGAAAGACGAACCAAGAAACACACAAAATCCTACTTTTCTAAAACAACAATTTGCATAGAACACAACACGAATTATCAAAAGGTTTAATTGTAGAAATAAAGTGAATACCTTTATGTACAATATCCATTGCATACAATTTTCACTCACTCGGATTTTCGCAATATTTTAATTACGTTAAATCCAATTCAATTTTCAGCGTGCTGACGCTGTACAAATAAAATGGACAATTGATGACAGTTTTGTTGCTTTTTTCAGAAACAACCTTTAGAATTAAAACAAAAAATATATGTATGACAACATGAAGTTTGGACAAATAACTGTTTGCAAAGCCTATTTCGGTTCAAAAATTTTTACATACATTTTTTTAATTTTGGCCTATGACAGCAACCACTGTGCAGCGGTCCTACTGTGTCTATTGTGATTACCTCAAAAGATGTGTTGGGCGTTTCCGTTATGTGAAACCTTTCTTATGTGTATTTCGTTATCTTGACTTAAGCACAAATTTTACAGTTATTAACAAATTCCTTAACCATTTTGCTCATGTTTTTCCACACATACCTTTGCTTCAACTTGCTCACGCACCTTCTTGTTCCGCAACACCCTCCTTGCAATGATTCATGATACTCCCGTATTAGGGCGATTCCACCGTCACGGGTGGGATATTTGTACAGAAAAAATATTCTTTCTTGTTTAAATTTAAGTATAAAGTACTGAAGAATTCTACATTTTGATAAAGCTACACCCAATTGACTATTATATGAGTTAGGGCGTGTGTGAATCGGTAACAAAGTTCTATGGGGAAGCTGTTAAATAATATTTTTACTATGGTGAGAGAGTTTTGCCAATCTGCTGTGTGAAATGAAATATTTTTTGACAACAGTAAATTTTTGATAACCGCAAATTTATGCGGAATAACATATTGCAATTTGAAGTGAAATTAATATTTTAAGAAAACATCTGCCATCATTGATTGCAATTCATCAATTTAGGCTTTGTAGGTTAAGCTTTAACGAAAAATTACACACATCAACAATCTTTTCGATTGTCAAAATTTTCTATAAATTTGTCAAAAATTTCACTAGCCTCATGAGCTACTGAAATTTTATTCACCTCATAGTTGTCAAAAACTTACTCGCCGCGAACGTTGTTACCGATTCACACACGCTCTTATTACAATATACGAAAAAAATTAAAGCTTTACAACTTACTGAGTTGTTTCTTCTGTCACGGGTAAGACAAAAAATAGAACCTGCTTTTTGGAGCAGATATATTTTACATATTCGAGTTTTTGATTACCTAGTTTTATATTTGCTCGACATAATTTTCTTAATTTTAAGAGCAAAAACTGTCTACACTAAACACTATATGGTAACAAGAATGATATACAAGATTCCGCATTCCCTGCGGCGATGAAATTTCTCAAGTAAAAGTAAACAAAGGCGAATGGGAGGATAAAGTAAACTGTAAAATAGCAAATTTTCTCAATAATAAATTTTTCGACAGCAAGCGTTGTTTCATTATGTTAAATATTAAAATATATGATTTATAAAAAGGGTTAATAGCGAAAATTTAAACAAAAGGCGATTTTTGAGAAATATCTTGATATGGAAGGAACCGCTTTAGACTGCCAAGGAAAAAAATTGCCAAGACTCAACGCAATTTTTAGCAACTTCAATCTTGCACTTTGTTATACTAAATTCAATTTTTTTTAGAGTCTAATTAAAAGGTTTGCAATTTAGTTGAAACCTTACAGAATTTCTTTAATTTTTGTACAAAGTTTGATCCAAACCTGAGATTTACCACATTTTTTTGAAATTTACCCCATTTTTTTTTTTTTTTTTAAGTCCGATCACTGCTGACCACTGTTCTAGGGCTACCTTCAATTCTTAGTTTTATGCTTCTGATCTCGTACAGAAGTTGCGTCGACTAGCTGCTGCTACTACTGCCTTGTAAGGCTCAGACAAACCATTTTTAAAAGCTGATAGACCTTTTGATCATTGAGCAGCACAATAATCTCCCTGTGTTCGGTACCTTGCTCTGCCAACTGTAGTTCCCTTAATGCAGCTAATAAACTCTCCATGCGTATCTTCGACTGATTGCGTACCTTGATAGCACCTGGCAATGTCTGCATGCAATTTCGTTGTTGTGTTGTTGGGCTTATATCTCAAGTAGCACACTGGTATATAACTTGGTGCAAATTTGTAAATTTTGGTACAATTAATCAGATATACACCAAAATTCGTAAATTTCCACCAAGTTGAGATGCTGATTGTAAAACTTTCTTTAGGGTTGGTAGGCCAGTCGGTGTCTGTTCTGCTATTAATTTGTTTTCTACATTTTCAGCAAGCTTGGTGATTAATATGAATTTTACTAGCACTTTCCTTTGAGCATCATCTTTTAAAGATTCGCTATAAAACTCTATGTAACATAAAAAGTTATTTAAGTCTTTTTGTTCACCGCGGAACTGCGGTATTATCCTTGAGGCTTTTACGAAATTAAATTATGCCATGATGCTATGTTTTCTTCTTCAGAGGTATCTTCTTTGATTACCAAAAACTTTCCTATCTCTTTGGCTAACCGGTCATATTTTTCTTTTAACCCTTCATCATCACTAGGCGCTTCTTCGAGTATTCTTAACTATGCATCAGATAGGTATCGCTGTGTTTTTTCTAGGTACACCATTGTGTACTTCCTTATCGGTGCCTTTTTAAGTTTCTCTAAAAGTTCATATAAATTATTAAACTCCATATACCCCTTTAAAAATTCTGCTTAATAATTTACTCGTGTATGTATGTAATGTTTTTAAGAACCTAGACCTTAGTTCTTTCATATATATTTGTTGCAATTAGCATGTTAATATTTAATAGGGGTGTTCTCGAAGTCTTGCACGATACACCGATTGCACGAAATGCAAAAATACTATTCCAAATTTCGAAGAGTACGAGAGCACCCCATTGCAAAGTGGCAGCATGCATGGGTAGCACGCAGCGAAATTATGTATCAAATACAACAACTAGGGACAGAAAAAAAATGAAGTGAGCGAGATGCGAGGAATGAGAGAAATATGTAGCAATTCCAACAACAAAACAACTAGCATAGGGACGCATTTATCTTGCTATGCTATTTTGCAAAATATATACATGGGTTTCGACGTTGCATATTTTGCAGCGATAGGAAATGTTGCTTCCCATGTATTTTGTTGTAGCGTGTTTGCAAGTTATGCAATCCATCCAATCCGTGCTACGTGCAAGGGCTTTGCAAGATTTGGAGAATACCCCTAATGTAATATTTATAGTAAAATTGATTCATGCTATACATTATTGTTTACGCTCTTATACGCATGTTTCTTTATATATTTTTTATAATGCGCATTAAGTTTTAATAGTACTAAAATGATTAGTTTCGTGGGTATATCAAATTGCAGTGAAGCGGATGCTACTGCTGCGACCGCATTGTTGTTATTGTTGTTAACAATTTCCTCCTTTGTTTGAGTGCCACCCATCTTTCCACAGTTTGTTGCTATGTAATGCAGAGGAACATGTATGCAAAAGGGAAATATATTTCCTAGTGCAGAGTGCAAAGGAATTAGAAGGGCGTGAGTTAGGCTAGCAAAAGACTGATATTTATACTTTGGAATATCCCTCTAGGAAAGAGAAATATTCCTCCAAGCATTCTTTACAGTTTCCAAAGAAGCATGAAAACATTCCATTTTGTTGGACAGCTAATTTGGTTTTAACCGTGCGATGTCATTATTTAGACTCTTTTCACCTCTGTAATGTAATGTTTGTCATCAGGACCTAAGTTCTTCTTTCAAAACCTATCAGACTTGTTCCCTGAACGGTTGGCAGGACCGCCATGTAATATTTGGTATTAAATTTGTAATGGTTTGAGTATTATTCTAAGCCCTCCGGCTGCTTTGCTCAAGCGTATTACGCTCGTTTGTGATTCACACACGTCAAAGGGAGTTGAGTGAAAGAACGTTTATTCCTCGGCTCATCGCCGATATATATACTACAACATGCTTACAATCTATTACAATAGTTTAGTTATAAAATATCTTATTTACTATGAGTAACCAATCACATTGCTTGGTTCTCCCTAAGCTATTTCCCCTTATTTACATTCATTCTTTATTTAATTTGGTCACTCGTGTAGTATGCGCTGACCCATATCGCTCGTCACCCGATCTTGCGTTTGTACTAGCAAGCGCCAAGTGTGCCTTATGTGGCGCCATACTTTAAGCAACAGTGCAAGCCATTACGAGTGTTTTGCATGTGTCATCAATCCACGCTCGATCGTCGGAACAAATACGCTGACTCAGCAATATGATCCACAAATGTTTGAAGTACAATACGCAGGCACAGTAATCGTAGCCTAAGACAATACTATATTCCGCTGATTTGCTTACACTCATTTCATTATGTATTTACCTTTTAGTTTATTCAAAGCCGCAGAAGAAGCACGCCTACCGAAACGATTGCGTCCTGACCTAGGAGGTGCCTTACGTGAATTCACGACACGCGAAAGCCATTGTTTTCAACAGTTAAAAACCGAAGACGGAAGTAATGCCCTGTTCACCTCACAAGAGCGACAATGGCTCGTCCTGCAGGTGTTACAAGGCCTCCGCGCTGGTCAAACAGACATTGAAGCGTTACAAGGACGGTCAACCGTAGCCGAAGGACAGAGCATCGTGGCTGCTTGGCAAGAAACCGGCCTGATTGTGCAGATGTTCCCGCTACACGAAACAAGATCCTTGGCCCTGCTGCAAAGCAGTTGGGTGAGGCAGATTTTTGCTCCGCAACCGCTTGGTAATTTACTTATTTTCTTACAGTTATATCAAAATTATTGATTAATTTTACTATTAGATGACATTGCAGAATACTTTGGTGTGAAAGTGGCCCTGTACTTTGCTTGGTTGGGACATTACACGTTCGCCTTAGGACTTCCAGCTGTTTTTGGAACGATATTATATGCAGCATTGTGGGCTAAAGGACAAACAGCGCAAGATATGGGACATGTCTTTTTCTCTCTCTTCAATGTAGCATGGGCTTCGTTGTATTTGGAAGCGTGGAAACGATACTCCGTCGAACTAGCCTTTCGTTGGGGTACGTTGTCGACGCCACCTGAATTACTTGAACCTCCTAGACCACTTTATAAGGTATATTTAAAAAGTACATAAAGCATCGTTCACTTACAATCTGTACGCATTCCAGAGATTCGTGCATGTTCGTCTTAGTAAGGACATACAATTTTTTAGTGCAGTGCATTAGAGAACAGATGTACTATTATTCACATTGCTTGAATTATGAAATATATAAAGTAGTACGATTAACAAAATTTATGAAAGAGCTAAAATGAACTAGCTTCAATTATAAAATAAGCTTCCAGTTCATACGTTGCATCATGATTACGGTGACCATCCGTCCTTTATTTTAAAGGACAGTCCTGTATTTTAACCCCCTGTCCTTTCTAATTTTTTTCAAAATAAAGGACGCCTTTTGTCCTTTATTTCTTAAACTGTCCTTCAAATCGGCTCTGCATTTTTCAGAGGTAAATTTTTAAACACAGAATATGAAAAATAAAAATGTCCCTTATAAAACATAATGAAAACCTTCGCCAGTTTGTTTCGCACCCCACTTATGGGTTTCTATTTAATCAGTTATCTTTGTACAATCTATAAAGCACAGGGAAAGTTGTGCCCAGGATCATCTTGCACGCTGAGTTTCCAGTTCCACTGAAAGAGAACAATAAACCTCCTACTGCACAGTGGTTCAAAACTGGCATTTAGTGTTCGTAATTCCCCGGAGCCTGCATTTTTCACTTCACTTGATTAATTTAATTTTTTTTTATGAAAGGTTACAATATTTGCAATAGACCAGTTGAGCCTGATTTCTGAATTTTTATTTGATTAAATAAAATTAGTTTGTGCAAAATGCAGAAAAAGTAGCAGTTTTGAAGAAAATGTATTCTCCTGTTCCAGTTAATAAATGTTACATAACAGAAACTAGTTGAAAACAATCGTATGGTTCACCCCATGATAAAAACATTGCAAGGTAAAATCATTGAGAGGCAGTCTGACGTTTGCCAGCAATATAATTTTAAAATTCGAACTCAATGTCACACACACATTCTCATTTTTAATCTCAAACAACAACAATCGTGAACAATTTAATTTTTTTTTATTTTCAATTTTATATGATTCTAAAATGTTTGAAAACGTCAGAAAAAAATCATGGCCGACGAATTGAGAGAATGATTTTACGTTCTAGTGTTTTTATCATGGTTCACCCAAAACAAAAAAATACACAAAAAAGATTTTGAAATGTTATAAAAAATGTGCACCAAAATAATTTTGTTTGCTTTTTAGTAAAAGTTTGTTGAAAAGGCTACGGTGTATTATGAACATTATATTCCAATTTTGAACCACTGTGTGCTGGCTTCGTCGCGCAGTATGAATTATGATAAACGCATTTTGGTAACAAAGGATTGCGAAGTCCTTGAAAAAGATTTGGCTTCATGTTTCGCTACAGCACGGAACTTGTACAATTAAATAATATAATTAACTGATAAATATTTGATTTAATTACGATATGGGTAAGGTACTTTCATCATACAAGCTGTATGTACGTATTCCCAAATCATTTTGAGAAAAATTTCCTTTATTTTACGTTAGTTAATATGGTCACCGTAATCATGATACTAAAATAGAAGGTAGTGCCATTTATTGACATTCGTTGTTGTTGCCGACCACTTGACTTTTAACAAGTTTATGACATTTGATGTAATGTGGAACGATTTTCCGTCATCCCTTGTCAAATTTGGTTTGGAGACAAACCGGTTTCGGCGTTGTGCCATCTTCAGTGTCATTTTTCGTTCTCAACGAACACTGACACTCCTACCCTGTCGGAAACACCAACAACGAAAATGAGAATATTTATGACATTTAGCTAAAATCATGCTACCAGATTCACTAGCAGCAAAATGTTTGTTTCTTGAAAAAGTAAAAAAAAAAATTTGAAGTCAGTGAAGTTGGATGAAAATATTAAAGAAAATTCTTGCGCGTTTCCAAGCTGCAAGATTTCGGTATACCTGTGCAAAGGTTCGAAAATAAAGTTTTTTGCTTTTCCGATGGTAGAGTACGTAATACAATCTAATGCAGTTTGATGACAAATTGCTGACGCAAAATATTTTTAAACCTCTAAACGATGTACCGTTATCCATGGAAGAGGGAGAAGGTCGAGTTAAAATGATGCCCTGCAACTTGTAACAGTACCAATTTTTGGGTTCCCAGAATTCTCTGATAAAGATGTGGCGCTTCTAAAAAATATATATACATAAATATAAGCACGGAACTATGTATTTGTGACAAGAATTATCCACATAAGATGAAAACTACTCCAGCTTCATTTTATAGAATTTTTGTTTATAGAAAAATGTANAGTTAAAATGATGCCCTGCAACTTGTAACAGTACCAATTTTTGGGTTCCCAGAATTCTCTGATAAAGATGTGGCGCTTCTAAAAAATATATATACATAAATATAAGCACGGAACTATGTATTTGTGACAAGAATTATCCACATAAGATGAAAACTACTCCAGCTTCATTTTATAGAATTTTTGTTTATAGAAAAATGTATAAGACAGTTCGGGTACGGTTCGGTTATTTGTACAATGCTTTTGGGTTATCGTGTCCAAACGCGTGACCCGAATCAAAAAAGTTTAACATACATATATGCACGTCTTGCCAAAGGATAAAGCTTTAATTTAAAACAAAGATTTTGGTTTGAAATATGCACTTCATTTTTGTAAATTTGGAGTTAGATTTTGCGCAAAAATACCGTGCATGGCGTAACCGGAGTTGGACTGATGAGGTTATTTTTTTTGGTGCGGCCGAAGGCCACCACCGCGGAAAGAAGTTTTGCGCAAAAATACTGCTCATGGCCTAACACAAGTTAAATTTTCCTTTGCGAAAATGCTAATTTGACCCCATTTTGTCAAAAATTTTGAAATGAAGCTGCCTTCTTTTTGTATCATGCGTTGTATCCCCACCAAAGCATCATTGTACAAATAACCGTACATTTCCCACGCACAACATTAAATCCTCTGATGTATTGGTTAATTGCTATAAATGTGGTACGGTAGTTCACAATTTTGTACAATTTATGAAACTTTAAAAACTTATTTTTGGTCAAAAATTTTGAAATGAAACTACCCTCTTTTTGTATCTTGATTCATTTCATAAAATTTTTGTTTATAGAAAAGTGTATAAGTAAGACAGTTCTGGTACGGTTCGGTTATTTGTAAAATGCTCTTGGGTTATCGTGTATCATGATACAAAAAGAAGGTAGTTTCATTTCAAAATTTTTGACAAAAAATAAGTTTTTGAAGTTTCACGCGTTTGGACACGATAACCCAAGAGCATTTTACAACTAACCGAACTGAAGTAGTTTTCATCTTATGTGGATGATTCTTGTCACAAATACATACTTAGTTTCGTGCTTATATTTATGTATATATATTTTTTAGCATCGCCACATATTGTCAGAAAATTCCGGGAACCCAAAAATTGGTACTGTTTTAAGTTGGAGGGCATCATTTTAACTCGACCTCCTCCCTCTTCGATGGATAACGGTACATCGTTTAAAAATATTCTACGTCAGCAATTTGTCACCAAATTGCATTAGATTGTATTACGAGCTCTATCCTCGGAAAAGCAAAAATTTTATTTTGGAACCTTTGCACAGGTGTACCGAATTCTTGCAGTTTGGAAACGCGCAAGAATTTTCTTTAATATTTTCATCCAACTTCACTGACTTCAAATTTTTTTTTTTACTTTTTCAATAAACAAAAATTTTGCTGCTAGTGAATCTGGTAGCATTTTTCTTTTTTTTCAGGTATGGAATAAAAGATTCCTTAGTGTATATTAGTATAAGGTGTTAATAATAATAATAAGAATAATGATAATAATAATAATAATAATAGATTGGCGCTTACACATATGTTAGTGTTTGGCCGAGCTTCTCTCCTATAAGGTGTTAATATAAACAAAAACCGCCTACAAATGCGCCAATTTCCATATAAGGTTTTTTTAAAAGCTCAAAGTGTTATATTTGGAAAACAAAACAGAACAGAAACAAAACGTGATAGAACCTTTCACTTAGGCTTAAATTAAAGCTAGAACTCTCGTCATCTTCTTCTTCTTATTTGGCGCTGTAACCGCCAAAGTTCAGAAAAGCACGCCAGTCGTTTCTCTTCTGTTCCAACTGACGCCAATTGGAAACGCCAAGTGAAGCCAAGTCCTTCTCCACCAGGCCAGTGGTGGCCTCCCTCTTCCTCTCCTACCACCAGCGGGTTCCGAGTTGAATACTTTCAGAGCTGGAGCGTCGGTGTCTATTCGAACGACATGGCCAAGCCAGGGGAGCCACTGTATTTTAATTCGCTGCACTATGTCCATGTCGTTGTAAAGCTCATACAGCTCATCGTTCCATCGTCTGCGGTACTCGCCGTCGCCAACGCGTAAAGGCCCGTAAATCTTCCGCAAAATCTTTCTCTCAAACACTCCAAGAGCCGCCTCATCTGCGCCATATACCAGCACGGGCATGATGAGTGACTTATAGAGCGCAGTTTTCGTACGTCGAGAGAGGACTTTAATCCTGAATTGCCTACTCAGTCCAAAGTAGCACTTGTTGGCAAGAGTGATTCTGCGTTGGATTTCCATGCTGACATTATTATCGGTGTTAATACTGGTTCCCAAGTAAACGAAATTCTCTACTTTCTCGAAATTGTAACTGTCAACAGTGCCAAGGCGCGAACGTGCTGATAGTTTGTTTGATGACAGGAGATACTTCGTCTTGTCCTCGTTTACCGCCATACCCATTCGCTATGCTTCCTTATCCAACTTGGAAAAGGCAGAACAGACTTCGCGGTTTTTGATACCGATGATATCGATGTCATTGGCATAAGCCAGCAATTGCACGCTGTTGTACAAAATTGTTCCTGAGCAGTTCAGTTCTGCAGCTCTTATTATCTTCTTCAACATCAGATTAAAGAAGTCACATTAAAGGGAGTCGCCCTGTCTGAAACCCTGTTTGGTGGGGAACGGCTCCGAGAGGTCTTTCCCAATTCTGACGGTGCTGGTAGTATTGCTCAACGTCAT